CACATATTCTTGTTATAATTGGAGGTGGAACCAAATGATTTCGTTGTCGAAGAAAGAGCTATCTTCACAACGGTCTACTTCTGATGAATGTGGCAACTGCAGGGAAGAACATTTTGTTTTCTATTTATGTATATAATTTTGCATTTATTGGTTCTATTTATGTGATATAGACAAAGGAAACTGTTTGTGTTTTGTACAGAAAATGTTTATAATAAGGAATAGTAGATAGTAAAGAGTAGTAGCTTGTTTTTTAAATAGGGTCATGGAGCTACTCCACAGTACAAAACAACGGTCATATCATGTTCGATACTTGACCAAGGTTGTGTACATAAAAATAGTTTTTGGTGCGTTTTATAACTTCCTTTCTTTCGAAACTCGTTTAATTTATCAATTAAAATTGGTATCCAATTGAAAATAAGCACGATTGAAATGACTATTATCAATCGAAAACGTTCGTAAATCATGGTAATATCATTGGACATCATTTTCTTGCAAAACATAATGAGCACTTCTTTGTTTGCATTAAAATGTTGTGCGTACCATGTTTCAATCAAGATGAAATGGTACACACGATTTAATGTATACAATTTTCATAAATGATAGATCAAGTGTGGGTGATACAAGCACACTTAGACTTTAAAAGCATTACACTAATTGGCTTTCATTTTAATTTGAGTGCGAGGATCAAGAAGATCAAATTTGTCCTTCAACATTAACAAAAGTCCGGTTACGGTATTACTTGTCGGAACCAGAATGTAAGTGGTTTTGTCCCCTCTCCACTTTTATTCGTTATCTACATGAACAAACTTTTCCCCATGCAACATGATGAATCTCGTAAAAGGTCAAATCAAGACTTTCCATCGTTTTTAAGTGTTCAATTTGATAGTAAAACTACATATTCCGACAGTTTGTAAATGTCGAGTTTGACTTTTCAAATGTTTAACCCGACGGTTTGTAAATGTCAAATTCGACAGTTGAACCGTCGAAAATGTCGAGAAGCAGATGACAGTGGGCGGAACAGATTCTTCAGCAGAACACATTAAGTGTGATAATTAGTATTGAGCTAGATAAAAAAGGTCAGATTGGCCTTATCATTGAAGAAACATTTAATGAAAATATTATTTGGTTTGAATGAAAGAAAGTACTCAAAACCATAATGGTGATAATCACATTTGTGAAGGATTCAAAAATAAAGAAATCAATGAATAATAGTTTCAAAATTTTTAAATAAATATGTCAAAGTTTTATTTAATATTTACAAGACATTAAACTATAGAAGTAAAATAAAAAAAATTTCTAATAACTAACATCTCAAAATGGATTATGAATGCAAGAGAAAAATTTTCTTGATCAATGAAAATGAAGAAGGTGAGAAAAATTAGGGTTTTATCAGAGAAGAAGAAGATATATATATATATGTTTATGTTCATTTTTAACTTCTTTTACCATTTTTTATTAACACAAATTCATATTAATCAATAATAATACACATTTATCCATATTTTTTTATGTGAAAATTACCAAAATAGTCAATTTTTGACTTTGCATTTACAAAAAGTCACCTTTTTTAAGTCTTTGCAAAATTGTCAATTTTGGAAAATTTTGGACATTTTTTTCCATTTAGATAATTCAAATATTCTTTCATTAAAAATTGATTTGACTAGATAAAAAAATAGTACAAAAACTTTAAAACATCACATCAAATACTCTCACTTCATTATTTAATATATATCTTTACTCTCTTAAAAGAGAGACTTTTGGTACTGTTCATTTATGTCACAGCCGTTTTCACACTTGAATCCAATTTATCCGATTTTGCTACAATGGTTTGTCCTTTTTTTTCCCTCATTTACATTGTTTTCCCACTTTACCCTTGAAAATCCCACCTTACACTAATTAACACATTGAGGACTTAATGGTCACTTGTGCCCACAGTTGTTGACTTTGCACAGACAAGGATTTTTTTAATTTTAATTTTAATTTTTTTAATTATACTATTAATATATTTTTTTTGTAAACTTTTTAAGAAACGCATTTGATGTAACTTTAACTATTTTTGATATTCATTTAGATCAATTCGATGAGTCCATAATCTAGTTCTCGAAACGAGTTCGATAAAATATAGACAATATATTTTTTTATAGATGTTGCGTTAAAAAAATGACGAGTTATACGCATTTTTTAAATTTGATGTCAAACTATAATTGGGGATTTGGAAGGGTAAACGACGAAATTTGACCTCGAAAACAATGTCCACCAAGCGAAGCTAGGTGGCCATGACGTGCGTGTCGAAAAGAGTTTTCTGAATTGGGGTCATGGGCTCAATTCCGATAACTTTAGCAAAACTTATAGCCAAATTAAAAAAATAATAATAATAAATTTAGAAAAAAAATAAGTCCGTAAGAAAAAAAACACAGAAGAAGAAGAGTAAAATTAGACACTCCGCGCTGCGCGGAGTGCTTGCCAGTGAGCACTCCGCGCAGCGCAAAGTGCTTCACTAAATTTTTTTTTTTTTTTACGGATTGTTTTGGTAATTCGACCATAACTTTGGCTACGGTTGTCAGAATCGTGCCCATGACCCCAATTCGGAAAGCTCTTTTCGATGCGCACGTCGTGGCCACTTGCTAAGCTGGGTGGACATCATTTTCGAGGTCAAAATTTGCTATTTTCCCTTCCTCTTCATTTACGCGTTTGATGTTTGTTTAACTATTTTCGATATTCATTTAAATCATTTGACGTGTCTATGATATAGTGCTCGAAATGAGTTTCGATGTAATATAGAAAATATATTTTTTTATACATTTTATGTAAAGGAATTAAGAAAAGTAGGGCGATAATAATTTTATTAGGAATTTTTATGCCAAAAACAAAATTTTTTTTTTACGCAACATCTATAAAAAATATATTTTCTATATTCTATCAAACTCATTTCGAGAATTATATTATAGACATATCGAATTATTTAAATGAATATCAAAAATAGTTAAATGTACATCAAACGTGTAAATGAAGAAAATAACTATAGGAGATTTGGAAGGGAAAACATCGAATTTTGACCTCAAAAATGATGTCCACCCAGCGTAGCTAGGTAGCCACGACGTGCGCATTGAAAAGAGCTTTCCGAATTGAGGTCATGGACAGGATTCTGATAATCGTAACCAAAGTTATGGTCGAATTACCCAAAAAAAATCCTAAAAAAATAATAAAATAAAATTTTCCAAGCACTCCGCGCTGTGCGGAGTGCCTGAATTCAAATTTTTAATTATTATTATTATTATTTTTACTTATGTTTTTGTATTCATTTTCAGGCTCATTACGGAATATCAAATAAATTCGAAATATTATATTCTTAAATATCGTTTTGAAGTATTCGCGACATAGTATTGCACGTCGTTCACGGTGCGTGAAACGGTCAATCATAGCAAATGTTATCGGACGTCAATGTAGGCATTTTCAAACTATATTTCGAAATTTTCGATAACAAGTTAACTTTAAAAATTCGTCGACGATTATACGATAGTCGAATCGATAAATATTTTACATTTTCTCGAAACTCATTTTGAGAACTATATCGTAGAGACATCGAATGATTTAAATAGATATCAAAAGTAGTTAAACGGATATTAAACGTATGTGTTAAAAAATACGAATAATTCGTTTTTCTTAAAAAAAATCAATTATTTTATTACTATTTCGAAATTTTCGATAACAAGTTAACTTTAAAAATTCGTCAACGATTATACGATAGTCGAATCGATAAATGTTTTACATTCTCTCGAATTTTTTTTACTTATGTTTTTGTGTTTATTTTCAAGCTCATTACGGGATATCAAATGAAGTCGAAATATTATATTCTTAATATCGTTTTGAAGTACTCGCGACATAGTATTGCACGTCGTTAACGGTGCGTGAAACGGTCAATCATAGCAAATGTTATCGGACGTCAATGTAGGCATTTTCAAACTATATTTCGAAATTTTCGATAACAAGCTAACTTTAAAAATTCATCGACGACTGTGCGATAGTCAAATCGATAAATATTTTACATTTTCTCGAAACTCATTTTGAGAACTATTTCATAGAGACATCGAATGATCTAAATAAATATCAAAAATAGTTAAACGGACATTAAACGTATGTCTTAAAAAATACGCATAATTCGTTTTTCTTAAAAAAATCAATTATTTTATTACTATTTCGAAATTTTCGATAACAAGTTAACTTTAAAAATTCGTCAACGATTGTACGATAGTCGAATCGGTAAATGTTTACATTCTCTCGAAACTCATTTTGAGAACTATATCGTGGAGATATCGAATGATCTAAATAAATATCGAAAATAGTTAAACGGAGATTAAACATATGTGTTAAAAATGCATTTTTTTAAAAAAATTATTTCTTTTTTCCTTTTTAATTCTTTTTTGTTTGACGTCAAATTTGTTTTTTTTTTTTTTTGGTTTTAACGTAAAATTTTTTAATAATCATTCTTTTATGCAAAAAATTGTATTAGATTATTTTAAAAATTAATTTATCAAGAAGAAAAAGTAACAATAAGAAAAAAAATTCCTAAAAATTATCGAATTTTTTTTATATATAAATTTTTTTTAGATGTTAAAATAATTAAGATGAAAAATTTGTTGGCTCAATTTCTTGTTGCTATAATTCAAATGTATTTTTTCAAACATTATTATTTTAGTCTAAGTGATTATTTTACTTATAAATGACGTATTTGATAATACTATATTAAATATAAGTAAGTCGTTTAATTAATCGAATCCTTTATTTTATTGTTGAATATCTAATTGATATAATTAAATCGTTTAATAAATCGAATCAATTTTTTATTGTTTGCAGTCTCCCTTTGTTTCCTTATTTAATATGCTAATATCTCCTTTTATAAAATTCAAATCGTGCATTGCATGTCACAAGACTAGTCTACTTTTAAAAGAGAGGGTTAGGGCTTTACTATTCATTCTTGTCACGTGAGGGTTTACACCTATCTCGTTCAACCTGATTTTTCTACAGTGGCCAAATGAAACACATATGACTCGTCTGCTTTATTGCCGACAGCTATTTCCCTAACCCGTGCTTCGTTCTCTCTCTCAAATCTACTACATAAAAATCCAAAATTTCTCCCAAAATCACTTACAAAATTGGAATCAACCCACAAAGGGAAGAACAACAACCGATGTTTGAATGGATGGGATGGCCATCATCAACGCCATTGCCATGGAGAGGTGCTGCGTCTATCAATTGAGGCTGTGGAAGAATTGATGGTAGCCTTGAAGAGTCCAGCCAATCCTCTGATGGAGAGATGCTCGAATGGCAAGATTATAAAGCTATGTCTTTTACTCAATGTGTATGTCATCTGCTCTCGTCTCGTCTCTCCAGCATAATTTTAGCCTCTTAATGTAAAGAGTAAATTTTTCTTATTTATCATTAAACTGTTTAAGCAATGTTCAAATAATGATAATTGAAAAGGTGATACTATGATTCAAGAATTATCAAAACTCAAGACCCTTTTAAAACTAAAGTCGAAACCTTCGACTCGCAACTTGTTGCGACCTGACCAGAATGTGTGTCCCTTTATCTTACCTTCATAGGACCAATCCTTTCCTTTGCTTTTTGTGCAATCCAGTAATCAAAAGTTTGGTTTTCTAAAGATACTTCACAAGTTGTGATAGTAAATTTTTTACTTTATTCTCCAGCAGGTAATAGATGAAACTCTTCAACTGGGAGGCATTGCAATTTCGTTGGAAAATCTATATGAATAAGATTAAGAGTAGTCCATGTGGGCAAAGAGAACAAAATATACTTAAAAAGAAATAGGAAATAAAATTAACAACTGACAACTACAAACAAAGATGAAGGATACATAAGAATGATTTCTAAGAAACCCAAAGACCACCTCATCCCTTGAGATCACGATTAGTATTTTTCATAATCGTATTTCCAATCACTTGCACCCATCCTTTGTTATCCTTGTTTTCAATAGATGCAATGGATATCCCGTTGTGCTGATCATATTCCGTAAACATTTAGTACTCAAGTGGTGTTGATAAAATGAAATTGAACTTTATCCAAAGAAAATGACATACCGTGTTTTTTTTTTTTTTATAACAATTAAGGAAGAATTTTGATCACCTTTAGATGATATATTTGAAAGATGTGGTCTAGAGCCAATTGACGAGGTTAGTCTTTGTAAGTATTATGCCCTAGGTCCAATCAACTTTGGACATAAATACTTTTATATGTAATTAATGCAATTAAATGGCAGATCTACTTGGTAAGTTTGATTTTCTTAGAGGACCAACAATTGTTGTTTGTTATTTTCAATTAAACTGTTATTTTCTATAGACCCGAGTTAATCCATGGTTCTAGAAAGAGCGCAAGTGTTATTAAATAATTTGCAAACTTGTTAAACTGAGTAAATACAATTAGCTAGAGCTAAACGTTGAAATGTTGTTCAGAGAGTAAAAAACTTGTTAGTAGGCATTTAAGAGATTAATAAGCATTCTTTCTTTTTTTTCTAGCATGAAACTGAAATATTTGTTGGTCAAGTATTTGTAAGGTTCTCTAATTGCATATTATCATATCTATTTGTATACTTTTACTAGAACTACATTGATAGCAAAATGATTTTTTGGCTTGTGGGGTAGAAAGTTTTCAATTGTTGAATTAATGGAGACGAATATATATAAGCCAAAGTAAAACTGATGATACTTGTAGCATTAAAATTTTCGAATGTTTCGTAGTTGTTTTTGTACATATATTTGGGTTTTATATCATCAATCTTTTCATATCAATGTGTTGGAAATTTGATAGAAGTGTTTGGGTTGTAAAATTATCGCTCCCTTTCTAGGTTATTTTGTACATTTCCAACTCAATATTAGTATGAGAATTGAACTATCTATCATATTACGGATTCCAGCTTAGTCCTTTGTCCCAAGTTTAATGACTAAGTCCTAAAAATGGTATTCTTTGTACCTGATATGATAGCTGATGTATGGCATGAAATGATTTGTAGGATCATTTGTTTTTAAAGTGAAATTGCTTTAGAAACTAATTCAAAAGACACGGATGTTTTAAAAAAATGGAGATTGACTCAAGACATCTCCAAATGAAATTTAAATCCAGAAATGGATGGAGCAGAGTCAATAGTTTCGGCCACCTTCTAGTTGTTTCAATTTTCTGCATAACCTTCATAGGGAGAAATGAACCAGCTGAAAGATATACCAACAATCGCAGGGCATGCATTTAAATCAGAAGCACAGATAAAGGTTAGTAATTTCTACTTGAAAACAAATTTAGTAAATGAACCAAGGCAACCTTCAGTAATCAAATATTGCTCTCTTTCTATTAGATCCACCAAGGTTGACGTAGGGACAATTTTGGCTTAAGATAAGGCTTACTTGCTAGAAAATTTTTGCTTGCTTGGTCTAGAATGATATGACATAGTAACTTTCTATACATTTTCAATGAGGAAAAGTCCATTCCATTGTAGTCATAGTAAACTTTGGGTTGATGATGTAATTCACGAGAATTCGACACATTTAAGACACTAACATTGCCTTCAAGATAACCTAGCCCGTGCATAGCACGGGTAAAGACTAGTATATATAAGAATCCTCTTATTCTCTCCCTTTCCCTAAAAGGTAAAAATCTTATCATTCTTTTTCATTCTCTAAATCCAAACGGCTCAATTTTTTCTTGCTCAAGGTCATCGACGACGTTAAAGTCCTCCATTTTTTGTTCAGGCTTGAAGCCAAATAACCGTTAATCAGTCCACCTTCGACGAAGATCACCATTAATCTCTTGAGGTTTTATTTTTTCTTTCTTTTTACATTTGTTGCTCTCTTCTCTTCTAATTTTTCAAATTTAGGGGTATTTGTTTTTTTTATTCTTTACAAATTTGGTCTGAATTGGTACAATGTCTCATTTTTTTGTTGTCTATTTTTCTAGTGCTATGAAAATGTTAACATTTTGGTTTATGTAAGTTATTTATAAATGTATTTCTTACAATTATATTTTTCATTTTTCTTTCATGTAAATAATGGTTATTGATCATTATTGGACAAATTAAGTTTGAGTTTGTGAAATGAGCCAAGATTGAATTAGGGATATTCTGGTCAACATGCACAAATAAACTCGATTAAATGTGTCTTTATATGATTATTTCGGATAATTTAAATGTTGTTTGAAGTGTTGGATTATTATATTTTTATTCTTGAAAATGTCTTTGCATTTATAATGTCCATTCTGACAGTAACGAAATCATCCGTCTACAGATGAACTGTCGTCCTCGACAGTTAGACTCTGAAATTCTCGGCAGTTGATTGCAGAAGCTAAATTTTGTTAAGCTTCTCTTCTACATGTGATTTTAGAGGTTGAAATGTATAATATGTCATTTGAGCATCGTTATTACTTCATGAATTATAGACATAATAGTTATGAATCCATCTGTACAAATAAACTGTCATTCTAGATAGAGAAGTCACCGATCCAAAAGGTGTTTGCCTGGATTATCGGAGGGTCCATTGGCTAGCTAGGTAAATGAGGGGATTGTCATCTAGGAAATGTCATCTACACCTAAAACTTCTGCAATTGCGGGAAATTTGCTGCTTCATTTATGCCATTTCATTAGAGGATGACAGCTTATCAAGGTAACCCATTTTATACTTAACACTCTTTCATGCTGGATGTTCTATACTAAACGTACTAGTACTATAATTAGAAAATCGAAAAATGTTGTTATACCATTTACACTGTGAAAAAACGTGACAGTTTGTTGCAATCTAAATGTATGACATATTGTTGCAATATAAATTCAGCGGACGCCTAGGATCACATGCAATTCATAAATATCATTCTTCATATTTGTCAGTTATGACATATTTTTGTAACCCAACCCTTTACGACAAGCTTGAGATCACATGCAATTCAAAGATAAAAACATCTTATTCGAAATTTACGGCATATTTCTGCTATCTTAATATACCATAAGTTTAGGATCACATGCAATTCAAAGATATGATTTGTCATACTTGTAATTTATGGCAAGTGTGGGCAGCCTAAATTTACCATAACTTTAGGATCACATGCAATTCAAATATATCATTCTTCAGTCCACAAGGATGATGGTGAGTATATCGGGGGCCCGATTGTGTCAATTAGGTAGCTGTCATTGTTATGTTAGAAATTTCTCGTAACAGTAGGATCACATGCAATTTAAAGATAATTTTATTTCAAATTTGTAATTCAGGACATATTTTTAAACATAGGTTACATAGATATGAGCTCGTACAGACGAAGGTTGGATACGGGAAACGAGGCTTTGGTCACTTTCATGAGAAGCGACGAACAGTAACACAGCGTGGAACGTGTTGTACATGCATATATTCTGTCAACGATCCGCATGGATGAATTTGTTATTTTTTCATATTGTGTAATAATAAATTACTATTTCAAATATTTTATGTGGCATTTATTTGAAACTGTTAAGTATATTTGAAATTTATGTACAATAACCCTTCGTTTGCAATGAAGCCACTTGGATCGCACTACTACGGCATACGTCTAGACTTATTTTCAAATTTCTTGTTTGTGTTTGTAACGTGCATGTGCCTTCGTAACCCTAAACAAGGTTAATATCATAAGCCAATAAAAGTGCCCAAAGTACGACAAGTGTGGTGCAACTAGTTGACAACTGAGTTAATGTCTATTTCTTTTTGTTTCATTCGTCATGTAACTTGTGCATGAAGATGATGCCCCATTTTTGTAAGACACTACAATTACAACGATGGTACAAGTACTAGATTTTGTTTCACAAACACATTTCAGCTGTAGGAATCTAGAGTTAGTGAATTATACAAAGAGAATAAAGAGTCTTAAATGTCCTACTAATTATGGGGAAATGGGGGATAAAGGTACTCTAAATTTATTGAACCATAACACCAATTGCTTTTCAAATGTACAAGGAGATTGAACTTGGTGGTTGGGTAGATGATGATCATAATTGATTCCCCCCTTCAAGTTGCTTATAAATACAGTGTCACTAAATTGTCATTCCTAGACAACTTAGTGGAATAGTATTGGGAGAATTTCTGTCTCTTACAAACACATTTCGTTTCATCAATACTTTACTACATCAATATAATGAGTTCGTCCACAGGAATCACCGAACCGTTCAACATGGATGAGCCGTTGTCGGTTCTCGGTTCATCCCCATTATTTCCAATCTACATTTCGTCAAACGATGAGGAAATTGACCCTCGTACGAGTAGGAGAGCTATTTCCCCTGTTCCCTTCCCTAACTTGGAAGATGTTAGAAGTGACGATGGGCAATCACAGAATGATGTGCTCGATGTGGTGTTCGCGGTCGACGCTGGATAAGAGGGGCAGTCCGACGATGATGACGGGCTGGCGTACGTCCCACAAAACGAGGTCATTATCATCTCGTCCGATGAGTCAGGTGAAGACAGTGGGGAAGAAAGTTCAGTAGTCGACGACGAGTGAAATGTCTGCATGAATAAGTAGTGTATAGTCCAGTCTTTTGTAGGGATGAATTTGGTTAATACAAAACCAAAATGTCTGCATGACCATCTCCCTAAGCTGTAATCCGAGTAGTATATTTTGTGTAATCTAGTCCGGCCGAACTGTCGAGAATTACAGATTTCTATCTGTCGGGAACGACAAATTAATCGTCGGGCTGTAGATCTATATTTTGCACCACGTTCAGCGGATGTTATGAAATAGTGTTTATTATGAGCTGAATTGACTCCACGGATTACGATGTTGCAAATTATAATAAATTTTGTGGGTATTGAAAATAACATTTTTAAATAGACAAAACAGGAAAGTGGTTTTCCGTCCTCCCTTCATATATGCTGCAGCCTTCATATGGTCAATTGGAGATTCGGGTGCTTCGGTGTTCGACACACTGTGCTGATGATTGAGCTCACCATGTTGTAAATTTTGGGGACATTTCGTTCGGCCGAACAGGTTCCCTGCACAGTTTGCTTCCCTCGCCATGTCAACACTCGAGAGCTCGATTCCCAAAATAGTGACGCAGAGTGCAGTTTCCTTATGAACAGATATGTATCAATTTAGGTCCTCATCGTCGTGTATATCTACCGGAGGTATATTCAAATTCGGGACTTTGAACTTCAATTTGATTTCATTGCAGGGTTTCAACAATATCAAGTTTGTCCTTCAACTGTAACACAAGTTCTGCTACGGTAATGCTTCTCGGCGCTAAAATGAAAGTCGTTTTGTCCTCTCTCCACTTCCATTCGTCATCTACGTGAACAAAGTTCCCCCATGCGACACGATGAATCTCAAATCTTGAGACATACCTAAAATGTTGAGACTACAAAAGTGATAATTCTGCACATTCATATGTCGAAGGATTTAATACCGTCAAATTGGCGCATTAGAATACTTTGATCCATGTAGTACCAAAAAGAGAGCTTTTCAGGTATCGAAATCGACAATTGAATTCTCTGTCCATTCCGATAGTTACTAAATTTCGAGTTCGACAGTTTAAATGTCTAACCCAACGTTTCGATGAAACTGCTCAACAGTTGAACTACCATAAGTTTCGGGAATGTTAAAAATCATGTGTTTGACTGTTTGAAGAATTTATCGTAAAACATTAATGGTGATAATCAATTCTCAACTACAACATCAACTGATCTTCCAACACATAAAGAACATATAACTCAATTCTTCATTAAATATGGAATCCTTCACATTTTGTTGAGAATATTGGTATTTTTTTTCCTTTTTAAAATATATAAAAAATAAAACACATCAATTAATAAGAGATTAAAAACGGACAATTAATTATGACCATGTTCTATTGAACATTTAAAGTAGTCAAGTATGGCATGAAAAGATTTCTTTCATACTACCTCACCTTTGAGATTGATCAATGACTCTCCTTACTGCCTTGTTGATAATGGAAGGGAGATGATGATGAAGAAGAAGATATTTCACGTCCTACGTCTGTGTGTTATTCTTTGCACAAATTTCACCCCTTTTTAATCAAAAATTCATATTATACAATATAATATTCATTTCTTCAATATTAACAATAATAATAAATAAATAATCACATCACATCATTAATTGCATTCAAATCAAGCATTTATTACTCCTAAAAAGGTGTCAAAGTGTAAGATGGACATTTTGTGGGGCGAAAAAGTGACATTTTTGGAAAAAAATTGTGCAAGACAATTTTTTGTACATTTTCAAATTTAGTGACGTTTATGTAAATTCCCCTTTATATATATATATAAAATAAATCATCACATCAACATAGAGCATGTTTGAGCCACATTATAATGAGAATGAGAATGAGAAATAGAGCCGTTATGGGTCCCACACCAGAGATAGAAATTCAAAAATGGTGGCTCAATGTGATGGATAACGGTCATATTTTTCATTTTAATGAGGTAAAAATGTGGCTCAAACAGGGGCATAGTCAACTCCTTCAAATCAAGCATTAAATGCTAATGAAAATGTGTTAGTAAGGGTAATTTGAACATTTCACACAAAAAGTGACATTTTTGCTCACCTAAAGTGAAAATGAAAACTTTTGGGGACCTTGTTAATTTTGTGACATTTTTGAAAATTTCCCAAAGATAATATGGATTTTTCACTACCTACAGTTGTTGACTCTTCACTACTAATATATATATATATATATATATATCACTACTCCCTACTACAATGAATGTGGTGAGCACTATTCATTTAAGACGTATTTTGTATTTCCTTATTTTACTTTTGAATATCCCATAATATCTCATTTTACTACTGAAATCACTACTATTGATCTTCCTATGTGTGTGTGGTGTTGCTGTTTTGCCTGATTTGAATTTTTATGTCCAGAAAAAAATAGTTGACGTCATACCACACAAAATTTTTTTTATAAAAATTGTCGTGAAAAAATAATAAACATTAATAGATAATTGATTTTTTTAAAGAAGAAAGACGAATTATACGTATTTTTTAATACACACGTTTGATGTACGTTTGACTATTTTCGATATTTATTTAAATCATTCAATGTATTTATGACATAGTTCTCGAAATGAGTTTCGAAAGAATATAGAAGATTTTATGCATTTGACTATCGTACAATCGTCGATAAATTTATAAAGTTAGCTTGTTATCGAAATTCTTAAGTTTTTAAATGATGTCTCTTTTGACATTAAATTTTTTTTAAAGTTTATTAGGAAATTTTTCAAATGACGTTAAAAATTATTGTTGCGAAAAAATAATAAATATTAATAAAATAATTGATTTTTTTAAGAAAAAAGACGAGTTATACGCATTTTAACACACACGTTTAATGTACGTTTAACTATTTTTTATATTGATTTAGATAATTAGATGTGTTTATGATATAGTTTTTGAAATGAGTTTTGAGAGAACATAGAAGATTTATAGTAGATTTTTATAAAGAAACTAAATAAATCACCTAGTGAAAAAAATTTGACAAAAAAAAAAAAAAAAAAACTAATAGAACAACTCCGTGCATGACGGAGCAATTTTACTCTTGACATCAAGGAGCCCAGGAGCAAAATTGCTCTTGCTGCTCCTGACATCCAGGAGCAATTTGCTCAGTGAATCACGGAGCAAATGCTCCGTGATGCACGTAGTTGCTTCATCAGGCATTTATTTATTTTTATTTTTTTAGATGATGTTTAGTGTCAATTTTTTTTATTTGGTGATTGATATTTTTTTTTGTCAATTTTTTTTTTCATTAGGTGATTTATTTAGTTTTTTTTTTTTTTGTAAAAATCTATCATAAATCTTTATAAATCTTCTATATTCTCTCGAAATTCATTTCAAATTTCGAGAACTATATAATAGATACATCGAATGATCTAAATGAATATCGAAAATAGTTAAACGTATATCAAACATGTGTATTGAAAAATGCATATAACTCGTCCTTTTTAAAAAAAAAAATCAATTATTTTATTAATGTTTATTATTTTTTCGTGACAATTTTTTCAATATAATTTCTTTTTTTCCTTGGTGATTGATATTTTTTTTTTATACAAATCTATTTTACCCTTATATAACATGACACGGAGTATATTAAATCATGAATATTGTTTATTTCCTAAAAGTAGTTGTGATGAATCAAAGTAAAACTTAACACAATATTGAAAAAATTTAATACTCAATTAAAAAGATGTTGATTAATTTATTTGACGATATTGAATATTTTAGATGTATATAAATTTTGGAGGATTAAATTCAAATATATCAAAATTTGCTGATTAAATAAAATCTCAACCCCATTTAAGTAACAAAATATTATACTGTGGCTCAGCTTATGTTTGGTTCCATTAAATTTTTTTCTCATTTATTTTCAATTACAGAATCTTCCATAAAATAATATTATATGTAAATAAAAAAATTCATTAAATTGATTGGATATTGAACAATAAAAAAAGATTCGATTAATTACACGATTTAATTATATTGAATATAGTAATCATCAAATAAATCCTTTATATGTAAAATAACCACTCAGACTAAAATAATGTTTGATATATAAATTATGAGCTCTAATAATTTGGATTTTTAATCCATGTATCAAGGGAACATTTATCATATCCCCAAAAAATACATTTCAATTATAACAACACAAAATTGAGGCCAACTAATTTTTCATCTTGATATTTTAACATCTGTAATTTTTTTATATATAAAAGAAATTCGTTCGTTTTTAGAAATTTTTTTCTTATTGTTATTTTTTTCTCTCAATCATTTTTTTTTAAATAATCTAATAAATTTTTTGACGTCATTTCGAAAATTTTCTAATAAACTTTTAATTTTTTTTAATGTCAAAAGTGTGTCATATATGAAGATTACATTTCTATTTATCATTTTAAACAATTAATCAAATTTGTAGATTTATTGAGAGAATTGAATAGATATTTTGACACGTTAATATCTTAATATTACCTAAAAAATGACATAACCCGTGCATCGCACGGGTGGAAAACTAGTATATATAAAAGTGTCAAAAAATATTATCCAAGAAAGTTTATTGACTTAATTTAAGATTATAAAATACAATCCACTTAATTTTATCTATTATTAATTAAGGCTTGCATAGATTATGTTGAGAAAACTTATTGGGAAAATTTGGTGAGTGTTATGAAAAGAGAGAAAGAGAATAAAGACTAAAAAAATATATATTTGTATGTGTTTTATTGAAAATCAAAGCCCCATATATTTATATGAAATGATTAGGAATACAACTTAATGATTTTTAGGGTTGCAGGGGACAATCATCATTTACTAATAAGCTTATCATTTACAGTACTTCTCCTTGAATGACACGTTACATAATACAAAATATCAGTCTCGTTAAAACCTTTTTTGATAAAAGCTTAATGAGACAAAAAATTAAAAGAAGGAAAAAGAGTATAGTTATTTTGAAATATGAAAAACATATGCTGCCTCATTAAAATCTTACTAGGAAACTCCAATGGGATAAAACCTAAACAAAGAAAAATAGTATAACTATTCTCCTTGATGTTAATCATTGAAAATTTTTGAGTCGATGCATTTCAATCTTATGAACCAAATTCTTGAATGTAGACGTCTGTAATACTTTTGTGAATAAATCAGTCACATTGTCACTTGAGCGAATTTGTTGGACATCGATGTCGCATTTCTTTTGAAACTCATGTGTATGAAAGAATTTTGGAAAAATATGCTTCGTCTTATCGCCTTTAATATAGCTTCATTTGAGTTGTGCAATACAAGTTGCATTGTTTTCATACAAAATTATTGAATTATCTTTTGTTGAAATTAACGCTCATGATGCTTGGATATGGTAAGTCATATTCCTTAACCATACACATTCTCAGCCTGCTTTATAGATTGCAGTAATTTCAAAATGATTTTAGGATATTGCTGTGAAAAATTGCTTCATATATCTCCATGATATAGCTATTCTTCAACGTGTAAACACATATTTTGTAATTTAGTTTTATGTGAGTCAAAGAGACAACATGCATCTGTGTATTCCACTAAAGTTAATCCCGATTTTTGAGAATAAAATAATTACAAATCAATAGTACCCTTTAGGTAACAAAAAAATATGTTTAACACCATTCTAATATTTTTGAGTTGGTGTAGAACTATATCTTGCATGGAGATTTACTAAAAAAAAAAAGTTATGTCGAGTTGAGTGCAGTTTACAAAATAAGTTAATACTCCAATTGCACTTAGGTATGGTACTTCAGGATCAAAAACATTTTCTCCATCTTAAAGTAGAGGAAACTGATCTTTTTCACATCAAGTGATTGAACAATACAAAATAAGTTAATACTCCAATTGCACTTAGGTATGGTACCTCAGGATCAAAAACATTTTCTCCATCTTGAAGTAGAGGAAATTGATCTTTTTCACACCAAGTGATCGAACAACTATAAATGATGTCAATAAATATGCATCATCCACATAAAAACATTTCAAAACCTTTTCTGTATATGTAGATAAATGAACAAATAATTATTCTGAAAAATGTTCAATATACAACCCATGACAAAATTTGATTTTTTCAAATCTTTCATCTCAAATTCATTTTTTAAACAATGTGCAGTTTGTTGAACTCTTTAGGAGTTCCAATTAAATTTAAATCATCAACATAAACTGCCGCATTTGTAAATCCAATATTTTTTTTTCTTTATGAAAACAATTGGACAAGCATCATCATTTTTATGACCCTCATTCAGCAAATATTCGCTAATGCGATTATACCCCATGCATCCCAATTGTTTCAATCCATACAACGATCTTTACAATTTAATTAAGAACATAGTTCTCGGACATGTATCATTTGTTCCTGATACTTTAAGCCATTTAGAGACTTTCATATATATGTCACTATCAAGTGAACAACAAAAATCACGATTACTACATCAATAAAGCGTATATTGAACATTTGTGATACAGTTAAACTAATTAAGAATCTAAAAGTAATGGTGTCAATTACGAGAGAATATGTTTCGTTATAATCAATTCTTGTTATTTGTAAGAAATCTTGAACTACGTGTCGAGTTTTGTATCTTGTAATTTCATTATTTTCATTTCTCTTTCGTACAAAGACCTATTTGTATCTTATAAGGATTACTTTTTCAGGTGTTTGGATTACAGGTCCAAACATCTTTTGTTTCTGTAAAGAATTCAATTCCGTATGTATGACTTCTTTCCATTTTAACCACTCATTTCTATGTTGACAGTCTTAACAAACTGTAGTTCAGGATCCTCATTTTGTATCATATCAAGAGCCACGTCAAATGCGAAAAATATTGTCTATAACAATATTATTTCGTTCCTATAATTTGTGAGGTAGCATATATTTTATTGAAATCTCATTATTTTCGGATACTCAGGGTTCTTCAGAAACTATATTTTTAATATTTGATTAATTAGTCTTTTCTAATATTATTTTTTTTCGAAATTTTTGGTTAGTTTTTCTTTTGTATTTTCTTTTTCTAAGTATAGAATCATTTGAACCAACTGGTCAGCCATGCTTTTAGAGTATTTGAGATTCATTTACTACAAAACATGTAGTAAATAAATCACCCATTAGAGATTCAAAACACCTAATAATGGATGGTGAATCAAAACTCATATAAATCTCCAGTTTTAGTTGGGGACCCATTTTAGTACGTTGTGAGGTGAAATAGAGATTTGGACAATACAACAAAAAATTTGTATGTGATAAATATTAGGTTCATGATCAAATGCAAGTTGTAAAAGTGAATATCGATAATAGGCAATTAGCAACATGTAATATGACATTGCCCCAAAATGAGGTTGGGAGTTTTGTTTTCATAAGTAATAGTCTAGCAATAAGTTGTAGACGTATAATAAATGACTCCGCTAAACTATTTTTGTGTATGAACAAATGTAACTGAATGTTCAATAACAATTCCAATTGACCTGCAATAATCATTGAATGCTTGTGATCTAAATTCACTAGCATTGTCAAGACGAACAATCTTGATTGAGTAATCGGGGAATGTGCTCGTAATCTTATGATTTGAGCAAGTAGTCCAGCAAATGCTACATTTCTAGTGGAAAGTAGGCAAATATGTGATCATCTAGTAGAAGAATAAATTAATATAATAAAATAACGAAATTGTTTACATGGTGGTGTATTACCCATATATATCTTCACGAATTCTTTTCAAAAAAGTTGAAGATTCAATATTGACCTTTATAGTCGAATGTTCAATGATTAACTTGTCTTGTGAACATACTACATATGAATAATCATTAAGTAAAAGAATCTTCTGGTTCTTTAAATGATGCTCATGTTAGTTTTTTATTACTCAACACATCATTATAACTTCTAGATGTCTAAGTCGATCATGTCAAAGTATACAACTTTTTGAATCAATGAATTTCTAGTTTATGATAATATTTAATTCAATTATTTTTATAACTGCATAATACATGTCACATGAAAGTGCATGAAGCTTTTCTTTTATTTGCTTTTTACTAATAGAAAGAAGTTATACAAAGATATTCAACATTATTTTCTTGCATCGTCTCAATGTGATATTTATTGTAGCGAATATCTTTAAGACTAAACAAATTTATTCTAGTTTTGCTAGAATAAAGTGCATCATAAATATATAATTTTGTATTATTTTTGGTAAAATAATACAAATTGTTCTGGAGCCTTCAACGATATTTGATGAACCTGATATTGTATTAATATTATTTTCTGATAATGTTAGGTTCAAAGATATTTTTTGTCTTGAAAAAATAGTATGTACAGTTACACTATCAAACAATATCAATCAAGCAGGTGTTTTGACAATTCACCATGAATTTTCACCAAGCTAGAAAAATTAAACTATCATGCTGATAACGTTTATGAAAAGAGAGAAAAAAATAGAAGAACAAAAGATAATGTATTTGTATTTGTTTTATTAAGAATCAAAGTCCTATATTTATATAAAAAAAAATCAATGATACAATTATAATAATTTCTAGGGTTACGGGGGTACAATCGTCATTCACTAATAAACTTAACATTTACAACATTAAGAAGCAAGAGCTAACTACAAAAGAACCCTTTTGACATGACTTCTGAAAAGTCAAAAACTGTTTGAGCCTCAAAAATTTCTTTTGAACATGTTTAAATAATTTTTTAGTGCTCTGTATGACTATAAGAACTTCTAAAGAAAAAAGATCTAAAACATCTTCTTCATGAAGCTACTCTACAATAAGTGGAAATCGTGCCAAACGACCCCTGAATTGGGGTGACATAAAAACATTAAACCCAATATCGAATTTGTTTGCATATTGTCTGATCATGCACAAGTATGTACTTGTGTTCCAAAAGAATATCGAATATTTTCACAGCCAAGCCACATATCTATATTTCTCCCAGTAGGTTAGGGTCATCAATAACATCATACGAATCCTGCGTTCCTATTCAATTTAATTGAATAAAAGAATCACAACTAACTAAATACATTGCAGATTCATTTGTGACAATTCTTGCTTTTCTTTGCATAGCAAATAACCTTGGTGGGTGCCACTGAGTTCTGTGTCTGTAGAAAATGGGCTATGGTTTCACCGATACAGCTTTAGAGGCATCCAAATGGTTAAGACGACAGGTTCCAACAAGATATTCCGGTAGCTCTTCAGGTGTATTGGCCTGTGTAGTGCAAGGAAAATATCGATTGAGACCCAATGCGATCTAAATAACCACGTGCACTTTAGAATTTTTTTCATATTGCATAGACTGTCAGCCAGTCGAATTAAGTGGAATCTTACTCAAGGAGCGTGCATTACAGAAACTTCTGTAGGTTACTTTACCTGTACTAAAAATGCCATCTCAATGACCAGATTGTTAAGGTAACCTAGAACAAGGCTGACCACACCCCTTGCAACCGTGGATGAACCAATATCAACGCCAAGCTGAAACGAATCAACATATTAGCTTGATCATAATGTCGGAAAAATACATATTTCTGAAAATGAATATGTTGCTGGGCTTCACGAAAGCTAGTCATATTTCCTAGAGTTATTGCCAACTGAAGTCTGAAGATCTTGTGCCTTTAATAACTTTTCAACAATGGCATTGTATATCATCTCTCTGGTGGTTGTGTTGATTTAGCAAAGTCAATATATATAAATTGATTATTCTTGCATTTATGTCCAATAAATGATAGAAATTGAAGATTATGAACCAGATCCCAATGTACATGAACACATGCAAGTGAAAGATGATTGAGAATCAGCAGGGGGTCCGAGATAAAATTATACTTGCATTGTACCTCCAAGTAGTTCTTTCCGCGGAAATAATTAATTTCAAGTGCTTGCCCAATGAGGCATGCTTTTTTCCCAACACTCTGTTTGACTATCCATGAACCCTGCAAAATAGATATGCTGAGTGTTTAATGTTTTGATTACTGGTGAAGCAACTAGGTGAGTTGTTTAATTCAAAACTTCGTTACATTATCATACATGGCAGGGATCAATTGATAGGCATTTTTTTTGAGGAATAGAATCCAGGATGAACGCTTTTTCATTTGCTGTGCACTGATTGGATGCGTACTATTCATGAAACTAGATAAATATCGAGCATTGACATAGCATATGCTTGGATAGGAAAGGTAATACTCTGGGAGATGAAATAATTGAGTGCACGACAACAGATATAGGCTATGTTCGAGCCCCATTCTTTTGTTTGGAGAATACGTGGTTAAAAAGTAGGAAAAAAGTTGGAGTTTATGTGTAAAATTATTTTATTGAAAAAATGTGTAATTGAAAATGAGTTGGGGAAAATGAATTTTTGAGAATGGATCTCAAACAGGGGTATAATCTGATAAATGATGTGGACTGCATTTCAATGTGTAGATTTTTCAAGTGACAATAAGTTGACCCTTGTTATTTCCAATCAGGAGAATGTGAGGTAAACTTCAGTGCAGAATAAGGCTTGACGACATCCAATTACAACACAATACTGACAATAAAGAGGCAATGACATCTAGGACTGACAGGTCAAGGGAAAACTCAAAGCTAATTTCTGTTGTCTGACACCTAGAAAATGGAAGGCCAGGTTAAATGCCAGTTAAATCTGATTGATAAAAGAACTGTTCCGCATCTTTACCAAAGTTCAACTCGTCTTCGATGATGCTTTAAATTGGTAATAAATTTCTTGATGGCACCAATCAATGACAAATCATAAACTCAATGAGTGTTTCTATGTTTTGCTTGAACCAAATGAAGGCAAAGAGAAATAGTCAATGAGTATTCGAACAAGAGAACATTGACTAGGAACTACAATACTGTTCCTCTTGAGAATACACCTCAATTCACCGGAAAGGGGATACAACAAAAAAATTCAGTGGCTCAAAAATCAGTTGGTATACCGAAAAACTAAACGAAAAAGATAAGGAAAATCTATCTACAAGGCATGAAAGATTGGTCCAAAACCAAGAGAAAACTGAATGCAAATCTAAATGCAAATTATAATGAGCAAAAAACTAAAAAGAAAAACAGTAACCAATAAGTAAAATGCAATTGAATGCAACAATAACTGCTCTGACCTTTGAAATGTATGGTATGAGCTTGAACCTTGAATTTCTGTAAGCATCATCCCCTTTGACAAAGCTCTCTAGCAAGGGAGAATCTTCGATAGGAGTACTCATCATATAGTATAAAACAAGGCTATATGTTGTTGAACCTGGGACCTAGATTATTAAAATTAAAAGTCAGTAAACGATTATCCTTATACATCCAAAATAGTAAAAATACTTAAAATGAACGAGGCCTTTACCTGTATGTTCACAATAAAAAAGAACTCTGGGCCTCCCTTTGCTGCATATTTCTACATATAGCAACTTCATTTCAGTCATTGATCAGAATATGAGCACTATACATAAATTTTGCAAAGGCAATAACAGTGGATAAACTCTAGACAAAAATGTTTTCAAAAAATAAAGAAACACCTGAACTATGCCCCCAGGGCGACCACCAAGATCATCTTCTCGCTTGTCAGATCTCAACCAGTCAGCGGCAACAATTTCCATTAAGGTGCCTTTTGCTTTAATCTGAGAAGAGTAACATATAAAAATTATATTCAGAAAGGCTAGAAAGCAAACTCTGTCAATTCACCGTGAATTTTTAAATTTTTGTAAATTCTTTTTACATGAATAAAAACAAAACACTCTACAAAGGCACTCTACATTCTCTGCTCACAGAAAAAATTCCTTCAATCAAATGGTAATTGAAACTTGCAATTTTTTGGTAACTGAAAACAAGGCAAACAATAAAAAATTTACTCTAGATGTCATGCACACGTGCAGATTTAAGAAGTCCGTGACAATGTTTGATATTTAGCCCCTATTTGTCATCCTTTACTTTACATTCTTCTCATTATTTTTTCTACCGTACTTATTTTTAACCATACCTTCTTCATTAAAATAATATTACATGCAAATAAAAAATATTTTCTTCTTTTTTAACCACATATTCTTCATCAATCACTTTTCCATAATACATTTCTTCAATTAATGGGGCTCAAACAGGGCCTTAATGCAGTTCTTACACGCACCAATAACATTTGCTAAAAAATTTAAAATTAAGGAAACTAAATTATTAACTCATGTCATTTTAGCATGGAGTAATAAAAAAAAAATAAAAAAAAATGGAGCAAATACTTCTCTAAGTGTTGGGAACTGACGTTCCATCCCACTAGGTTAACCGATTAAGAGTAGCAGCCCAATTCCCTTAACAACCATTTACCCAATATTTAGCTGATGTGGCATATTATATGCACTTACCCAAAAATCCTTGAACTATGTACCATCCTCCCTCTCTTCAAGAGATAAATCTATCCATCCGCTTCCTTAAACTAGGAATGATCGCGCATTCCACCAATGCCCAACTCGACCATCGAATACTTGGGCACAATCACCATTGAGAGCCAACTACGAATTATTCCAGCCTATTGCAATTAACTAGGACCCACACCATCATTTGGTTGCAATTGGGGATTTATCGTGCCTAGCTCTAACACCTTTTATTGGGAATTGAGGTTACATCCCAAAAGGTTAACCTATCGCGAGGAGCAGCTCAATTCCCTTATAAACCCATTATTTACCCATGTCTAGGTGATACGGGATTTTCCTCGTAATTTCTCAACACATTGCTACTATTATGCTTTATTAGTGGGCTTAAGCAGAAGTCAAGCAATACTAACATACATTTACCTTGTGAAACAATTTGGTTCAGCCTTTTACACTAAAACAAAGGCAGACACACCGTTTCTTGAAAGATAAGATACTAGGATTTTAATAAATATTCAAAAGTGTTAAGTGGAAACTACCTTCTTCCGGTCATCCAAATAAGTCTTTCCACGAATTAAAAATGTCGAGTGATCTGCTGCTGTCCAGCTGCAGGGCAAGTTACAAGTTGAATCCTTTGGAAGAGTAGATCCATAGTTGCATGACAGACTATCATCCCTGGTCACCTCATGCAAGTCTGCATAACCTTTCTTCTGAACTGCAGCAAGAGTACATCTTAAACTATTAGAAGTTCAAGAGACCAACAATATACTATTGCCTAATAGGCAAGGGGAAAAGGTGGAGGAACCATGTCAAATTTATGGTTTCAATAAACTTACCTGCTATATCATGCAACTTTTTCACAAAGACAGCAGCAGTTGACAGTTTGGGGTGACAAGTGTCCTGAAACAATAAATCTATATCACAAATGAATTGAGTAAAAACACTAGATTTTCCACTATTCTACAAAGAACATAGTACCAACCTATACGAGCACATATCTATTAGTATCAGATGGGTCCAGACTTATGGAGGGTTTAAAGAATTCCGTGTTAAGATTAAAGAGTTAATCTTTAAATTGACGCCTTCAAAATTTTGCTGCCTGCCCTAATTCTGAGGGCAATAAAGTAGCAACATTTTGAATCGAATTGAATGCCTGATATCCAGCACCACAAGCTAAACTTTCCCCTCTACAAACAGATGTATGAAAGTTCGATATTGACATAATGCATAATTGCAGGTCCAACCCAGCAAAGATATTTTACGTTATCTAGCATCTAGTCATATCATATGATAATTGAGCAGCTAGTCGTGCAATGATTACTGAATTGCACCTCTAGATTTTAAGGCAATTCAATTGGTCATCAGTGGCACTACTGTTGCCACTAAAGCTATGTTCTTACTCCTAACAATATCAAGAAGTGATAGCTAGTAACTAGTACCTGAAAGTACATTTCTGGAGCAAAATCAGAATTCCAACCATTTTCTGATTGATCATAATCCAGAGGTTCTGACACATCAAAGAATTCATCTGCTGCATCATTTAATCCAAAAAGACTTGAATGTTCGGAAGGCGTTTTAACAGCTTCTTCCTCCATATTCTTCTTACTCTGTCCATTCTCCAGCCTATTTTGAACTTCAATCTTCAATTCTTGTGTACTTTGAAACGAGCTACTATCTTTCATCATTTCTCCCGATGAGAAATCAGATGATAAGCAATCTAATTTTGCTCTGAACAACTCTCTCAAGGCTACAAATGGATATAAGTAAAGCAAAAATATTACAAAATACAAATAAATAAATCGATAAAATAGTAACTGCATTGGCATAAAAGGAGGAGACAGAGATTAAGAAGCACACAGGCAAGCCTCCCTAACATGCGAATTGTTACAGATCGAGCTGATGATGACTGTATATATGATTTCCAGAATTTCCAGTCAATAGCTAGCATGTGCCTCACTACTGATTGCTTCCCTTGATTCGCAGGAGAAATCACATATCCACCACCTGAGATAAGTTCATAATGTCATTTTGTTAGTCATACAAATTCAATTATAGAGCCAGCAGTAACATGATTCTATAAAAGAAATGTAGTAGGATTAAAAGCTTATAAGCATGTAAGTTGTCAAATTGTAAGACACTATGTGCTAGAGCATCCATGCAATGATGCAACACAAGCATAAATATACAATGATAACCAGCAAAACCTTGTATATCTATGATTTGTTTATTAATATCTTAATTAAATAATATTAAAAATCCTTCAATTTATACGTAAATGCATTAAAACTTAAACATTATAAAAATTCTTCAATTTATATGTAAATGCATTAAAACTTAAACGTCATATACATATAAAATATAATTCAATACGTTTATTTATTAAAAAAAAAAAAAAAATGAAGAAGAAGAAGAAGAAGAGGAGAGAGAGATCAAATTTCCACTAGTGCCATATGAATATGTTACTTTTTAGGCAGGCACGGACATAGCCCTTTTGAGGTGGACATTTTTGGTGGAAGACTGAATGGTAAAGAATAACTGCAAGAAATAGAAACAAATGAAAGTTATTTTCCAATTAAGTAGACCATTAGTGGTATTAACTACTTGAGTTGAGCCAACAATATCACCGTATGTCCCGTCATCCTCCCTTCTCCAATAGCGCCGCAACAGAAGATCTCTTTGTTTCATACCCCTGCAACGAGTATCTCATGCATTAACCATATAGATTATGAGACAAATTTGACAGAGACAAGGAAGGAAGCAGACCATGGTAGCCAATCATGATATAGGAGCTTGTGAACTATATCAGTATGACCATCAAGATGTTCAATCACCGAGCCCTTGTAAAAACAGAAGTCCCATCTGCAAAGAAATTATTATGCCATCATAAAATAGGAGGATAAAATATAAAAGGATCCAACAATTTGACAGAAGCTAAGTTCCAATGAATCATCAAAACTGATGCTGTTCTCAATTAGGTTAGAGGTTGCTTCAGGGTAGCACTTTGAGAACCTTCCAAGTTGACGATTTTAATTTCCTTAAGGAAAGTAAAGGCGGTTCACTAAGAGAATTTAATATGAAAATTCAGCATGTAAAATAGTAGAGAACTTTAAGTAATCCTAAATTTCAAGAATAATAAGCTCCACAAAATTTCGGCGGTTTATCATTTTCTAAAACTGAAACAATATAGAGGATGGTCAAAAAGATACAAAAGAACTCCTCTACCAAGACAGATCTGCATATAGAGAATTTCTGTTATACCTTCTATAATGGAAATTAATTTTTTATATACTTTTGCAAAAGAAGGTTTATGCAAAAACTGAAAACATGGAAGGAAAAATAGGAACGGACAGCTCCCACGAGAAGAGAAAATTGCAAAGTTGATTAGAATACATAAGCAGCAACATTAGCATATCATAGCCTCATTTCATCTTATTTTTCTTGCACAAAAAAATCCAAGAAAATTATTCTTCCTGTTTCAAATGTAAGGATATTGTGAAGCATAGACTAACATTTGCAGATCAAATATTTTTATCTGTAAATGGATTCACAAGTGATACTATTACACAAATATTTCAAGTTCAAGTAAAATATTTGTTATTGAATTCACAATTCTGTTTCTGTAATATCATTTGCAACTTACTCTGATCTTGAAGTCCCAAGGGACATGAGAGTTTGGAAAATGGCCTCTGATGTTCCATCAACTACACCAACAGCCATTATTGCAGGATGATCATCCCACTACAGATTAAGGAAGAAAAAATTGAACAAGAGAAAGTTCGAAGACTTCAAATCTCGTATTAACATTTGGCTAACCGACCTTCAGATGAAATTCCCTATCTTTGGCCTCCTTGAATAACCGGAGACCTGCACAAGTTCTAACATTTTAGACAAACCATTTCTCAATCTTGCAAGATACACTGTTAACTTAATCTATACCATTTTGACAACCAAAGATTTTCCAGGATGATGGTGCAACAACATCAGATGTCATTGCATCAGTAACTGATGATGAGCAGAGAGTCCAGTCAATGGAATGTGCATTTTTATTACGGCGGTTTAACCTGTAAAGAACATAAGAAAATAGGTCAACATAAAGAAGGCTGGAAACTTTTATTTCAGCTTATCAGGACAAGTCGAAAATTTTCAATTTGTTCGTAATAAAACATTGGCAATTTGACTTGATGGTAAAAAGATAAGACAGTTTACATTGTGATCAACCACATTGCTGACAATTGATTAAAAAAATCTTAAAGTGATATCTTGGTCAATAAACAAATCAAATATAAAGCTCGTATACCTAAAAGACTGTGGTTCACGTCTAGAGAAATCAACATCTCCTTGATTCAGGTCGGGCTGCAGTTACCCATGATCATCATTTGCCAACCTAAAAAATATATAGCAATTTAATAAATAGAACAGTTTTGACCTTCAAAGCTGCTTCCTGAAAGGACTGAATCCATCTTGCAGCTTCTTCAGGACTGTTTGCTCCCAACTATAAATTAAAAGATTTTGATTAATTGTGTTGTTAAAAACAACGGTCATAAACGTTGGAGTAAAAAGCTTGCAAACCTTCAGTTGATCGTTGTGATTGGAAGTGTTATAAAGTGTAAAAATAAAGAAGATCTGCAAATGGAAAATTTACAGAAGTACCACTCAGCCAATTGAAAATCAAAACAAATTGATTTGGTTAGCATAAAATTGGAAAATTATCACTGCCATAAATTAAAATGGCAAGGAGTTTATACTTTTCTTTGGATGCTCTCTCTCCCATTGTCAGTTACCCTTATGCACGAATCTATAATTGCACTTCTGATAGGATCCTGAAAATTAGCATGAGATTTTTAAAATAATACCTGCTCATAATGACCAACATGTAAAATCCAGGATAAACAGAACCACAATATTAATTATCCACTTTAAATCAATATAATTTCTTAGCAAATACAGAACAATTTCAGAATGAACCAAACGCTTAATTCACTCTATTTTTATTGTTACATAATCAAAGGCAGTGTAAAACCACTGCCGAACATGATTATATAATTAAGCTTGTTTAAAGACTCCTGTTTACGTCAATTCAAATGTCTAACCAACTCATAAACCGTCGATACTGGTAGAAACAGTCCACGACAGTGCAAATCAGTCTTGAAAAGTGCCTATCTTCTATACATGGCGTGTGCATATTTCATTAATACTTGTAAGAGGGACATTAAGAGTACAAATGGAAAGAAAAAGGAATTAAAAGTGTATCTTATGGATTCAACCATAAAAAAATTGCAGAGTATCCCACTACAGATTTCTCAAGTTTTAAGAGAGTTTAAAATTAGTGAACATCCATTTTCAGAATTTCTTAAATCCACTTTCATATTTCTCCAAATATAAAAAGCAAAACATCTCCTCAGAACACTTTCAACCTCGATAAATCAGATTTTTGGAACCTGATTATGAAAATCTGACCGGTAATAAAAAATTCAAGGCACACAGGGTATTCAGTAATCCAATAGTAACTAGTAATTAATCTACCCAAGTAGATCTTGTATAAAAGTTCACATTCTACTAAGAGGAACTTGTTTTGCTTTGCAAAATTTCATTATTAGCTGGTGAAGTGCCTCTGTGTCCCGCTAAATCAACCACAGTACGTAGCTAACCAGAGCATATCACTGGGCCATAACCCAACATCACTAGAGATACCATTGGTATTAGGCACCACTCCTTTATATTCTCTTTCGCAAACTCCAAGTTTTGAATTAACAGCTTCCATTTCTTTTATAGGCATTTTGATCCTAAATGTAGTCTTGCGAAGACCCCAAAAAGTCTTAACACCTCAGAAAACATGAAGCCCATAAATAAATTCCAGATAAGTGTCCAAGGTCAGCAAGTATGTCTATAAAGTAAATTATGGAAAGGAAAGAGAAAACAAAGGCAACAATGTACAAAACTTTCAGTTATCTATAAGCTTAATTCCAGACTCATATAAATTTTCTCTGCCATAATCCATAACCTCTAATTTTTTATGAATCGATAGATTTAAAAACTCCTGTGGCCATACTACTACAAGCAAGCTGTCTGAATCGGGGTCACACTGAGAACCAAAGTCGTATCCGTGTAGGCACAGATACACAGATACATAAATAGATACATCTACACTAGACATACATTTACTAAAACATATAAAAGACTAATTAAAATCCATATATGTCGATATTGTAATATCAATATGTATGTATAAACATACATAAGATATTCAAAGGCTAGCATAACACTCAAACATAGAAATGCATGTTCGCCAGTGTAATTGCAGTTGAAATCACGCAGAAATAGAAACAAAGGGCACTTGTACTGATCCCATTATAAAACATAGGGAATTAAATTTTTCTTAAATTCCAAATGCAAAAAGAATATACCCATAGAATATATAACTATAGTCATCATTTCTGTTCATGGTACAGATGATACAGAAAGAATATAAAATCCCAATAAAAGGTCATACAATAACTGCAAGTTGTGACAAAAGCAAGAAACAATCAATCTTCACAATCGCACATGCATATGCAAAATACACACTATAAATCGATCAATGAACACAAAAATTAAGAAAAATTAACAACCTCGTTGACGGAACGTGGGATAGATTTAAAGCTCTTGAGCAAGTGATCTTGAAGAACAAAGTACCGTTTTCTCGAGTATTGCAGCCCAATACGGTTAGACCGTATCAAATACAACCACCCCTCCATTTTATTACCATCACTCTGTGAAACCGCCATTTTCACTATTTAATTACCAAGAATTCCCAATACCCCACCCCTCAATGTTCCCGTAAAAATCGAAAAAATATGTTCAATTTCAATTCGATAAAATGTAAAAATAGGATAACATACATACACATACACTTGAGTGCATGTATGTATATGTATGCATCAAGAATCTGCACAGATTTCTTTCTTCTTTCTTTCTTTCTTTCTTTATTGTAGGTATTGCAGGTGAGAAAAGGGAATTGAGGAGGAATCCTTTTTTCTTTTTGTTTTCTCTCTCTGGCCTGGCTGGTTGGTTTTACTCTCTGTTAAAAGGGACACAGATTGGGCAACGGCATATTTGAGAAAGAAGCTTGGCAGGCAAAATGATTTGATAGTCAAAATGACCTTATTACCCTTTTTTATTTTTAATAATAAATCTGGAATCTTTGAACTTTGTCCCTTTTCCCCTTTAAAAGTTAATTGTAAAATTGCTTCATTGGTCCCAAACCTATGGTTTTAATTGTATTGTTGTCCTAATTTTATTCACAATCTATAAATTTGCAACAATGTTACCTATCATTATAGAGATCTCGATCAGTCTAGGTAACAGTAAGTTCCCTAATTTATTATGTTGAAAAATACATCATAACTCCATTAAACGACTACTAGGGGATCCACGGCGACTTATATATTGTTTACGATATCTTGTAATTATAGTAGCATAGATTAGTCGTAAATTTAGGTAGATAAGGTGGGCATGGGAGGTCTGGTGGGTGGGCCTAGGGGTCACCTGACCTCCTAGACTTTGATATATATATATATATATATATACACACACTGCAGCTTTGTCTCTCTCTCCAACCAATTGAATAAGCCCCTGCCATAATTTGCCATTTGAATAAGCCATTAGCCACTGCCAATTTAAATAAGCCCATTAAAATATAGCCCATTTGAATAAGCCATAGCCACAATCTACCATTGTTTTCGCTGTCACGCTGTGCATCTTCAAATCTTCTTCCGTGCCGTTTGTGGTTTGCATATTTCTAAGTTTCTAACTTCCGGCTCCATCCACTGCCAGTCTTCTTGAAGGTGTCACATTACCATTTGATTTTAGTTATTTTCTTCCAGTTTTAGTGTCTACAATGTAGTTAATATTTATTTCTGATTTATGTATTACACATTCATTCTCAATGCCAATGTTGCCATTAATTGTGTTTTCTGATTTAATGTTTTCCGATTTAGGGATTTTTGATTTAGGAATTTAGCGGTTTTTTTTTATTTTGCGCTTTCTTATTTATATGTAAATTGATTTAAGAAGATTGAAACTTTAGGGGTCGTTTGAGCCCCATTATTTGTAGATTATAATGAGATGAATAGTATTTTTTTGAAAAATGAGTAGTTGAAAAGTTTTTGATTTACGTGTAATATTATTTTATTGAAAATTGTGTGATTAAAAGTAGGAAAGAGAAAGTTTTGATTTAATGTAATGAGAAATAATTGGGTTCAAACGGGGGCTTAATATGTTTGAAATTTTGTAGGTATGAAAATTGCTTTAGGGATTTCTAATATGGTTGATTTTTTATTTGTATCGGTTATGGACAAATACTTTAAATGTAAATCTACTCACTTCCTAAGATTTTGAAGAATTACAAAGCATTAGTGATCTTGCACAGAAGTTGGTTATGAATAATAAACATGAAGTGTATCCATTAGCCTAAAAACTTGTGACATTAGTCTTAGTTCTTCCCTTGACTATAGCTATTGTCGAGAGAGCATTTTCTACGATGACTTGCGTCAAAAACCGTCTGCACATTCGAATCGGAGATTAATGGTTGAATGATAGTTTGATCGTATATATTGAGAAACATGTATTTGACAAGATTGAAAATGATGTAATTATGAAACGTTATCAGAGTATGAGAACGTGTGCAAAATAATTGTAATAAGATATCTTACTTTAATTTTTTTTGTCACTTTTTTGAAAGTTTGATTATGACCCCAACACAAAATGTCTAGATCCGTCCTTGAAAGTGGGTGGTCTTTCAAAATCGAATTCTTGCATTCTACTGGTAATTTCATGCACCAACACATGCTATATTTCCAAGGTAAAAACATTTTCACGACTGTTGAAGCTAAAAATTTCATGGATTTAAGTGTGTGATTTGTCGTTAAGAACGGAAGTCCAAGCATTTTGCTTGTTAATTTGGCATGTGAGCAACACAATGCTCCTATTTGATTTTGTAAAAAAAAAAAATTGATGAAATATGTTGTTCAAAACAATGAAAAGTTAATTAAAAGTTACGGATCTCGTAAAATGTGTAGTTGAAAACGAGCTTATAAAAAAAATAAAATTAAAATAGAGGTCAGACACGGAGGTATATTTTCAAGGGTGATAGTGTCTTTCAAATTCTGAAACTCAAAAATTGATTTATGAACTTGTGATTATGACTTGTAACTGAACGATCAATTTTCTTTGTCCATACCATTGTCAGAAAAAAACATGATGATCAAACTTTAGGTTTGGAAAGCACTACCTCAAACTAATAATTTGAAATGATATCAAACTTATATATGATTTGTCTAGACATGACAGATAAGATTTCTTTGCTAGGCAAATAATTGTGACTACCGCAACCGCAAATGTTCGACCTTAACTTTTATCTTAATTCCTCCAAGAAATATTGCAAGTGTGTTGCCTCTTTACTCGCCTTGGTTACACAACATATTATGGCTCAATATAAGAGAGTAACCGTAAAGGTAAAAATGTGAAAATGAAATGATTTTACAAGTCTTCTTGCTAATTCACACCAATCTTTAACGCAAAGTCTTACTTTGTCAATGTATGTGGACACCTTTGTGATCCAATACATTCAACTGAAATTGATAGTGATGACAATGGGTCGAGCCGACGATAGTGATGGCAATGGATCAAGTCGAATCGGCTCGACCCTTTAATCCACGATCTCAGCTCGGGCTCGTGGCTCGTGGCTCGTGGCTCGTGAAAAACGAGCCGAGCTCGAGCTTGGCTAGGTCCACGAGCTCGTGAGCTCACGAGCCACAAACTCGTGGGCCGAGCCGAGGCCATGAGCCGCTCTTGAGCTTGTGTTTTTTTTTTTTTAAATTTTTTTGTGCACATTTTTGCACCTTTTTTTTTTTTTTTTGAAAATTTTTCATATTTTTGGACGAGGGCTCGTCAAAATAGCTCGTGGGCACAAGGCCCACAAACTCGGCTCGTGGGATTGAGTCCCTTGCTCGGCCGAGCCGACATCCTTAGAAATTGATTTCGCAAGACAACCTCCAAAGTACGTCTAACATTAATTTAATGGCTCGAGTTTTCCTTGTAAATGAATTAAGTGAAATTGATCAAATATCAAGCGATAATAGTCATTTAAATGGTTAAATATCATAAGATGTGACTCACGAACATGACGAGGAAGACAAAGCACTACGATTTTTCTTAATCATCAGTACCTAGACCGTGAATAAAGTTGGTCGTTAGATTGTGACAAATTTACCATTGGGTAAAATGTAAAAGGTGAAGATTACATGGGCAGCGTCTGTTTTCCAATTCAAATAGTAACGAAATATCATAAAATACTTTACTTTTACGAAAGTCAAATCATACTAATTTTATGTATCTTCTCAATTCTATTTCATGAACAATGCAAGGAAAAAAAACTTCCAAACGCGAAAGCTCTGATAAAATGTTCCAAGAAGAGAGATTATTTAAAAGAATCAAAATCGTTTACACCCTTGGAATATAATGTCTGGAAAAAAAAAAAAAAAGGAAAGAGAATTTTTTTTTCTTATGAACACATGATCCTAAAAGCTTAAACAATCGAATTCTTCGCTCCANAGTATTACCTGAGGCATGGATGAAACATCTCCCCCTTGTTTCTTTTTACTTTCATTGGTGCAGAAATATGAATACAACCCCATTCCAATAATTGCAATTAGTATACCAAGAATATTTCTTGCATTGAAAGGATCATGGAGAAGTGTGTAACCAAATGCGAGAACAAGACATGTTTTGAGATGACCTAGTACTTGATATGTAACTGGTGATGTCTTTCCAATCACTAAGAATGTGCTGAAGTTCACGAAAACGGCTATTACACACGAAAGTAGAATGAAAGCCTGCAAATCGTTAGCCACAATACGTTATCAGTTTGGATCTGTGTTCTATTTTATGACACGAATAGACTAGCTAAAGCATTAGCCATATATCGTAGGGGTGTCAAAAAGGCCCAACTGGTGAAATGACTGTCAGGCTCAATGAACTGGCCCGCCGGGTGAGAGCCAAAAGAAAGCTTAAAATGAGAGAGCAACCACTAATTATAGAAAAATCTGGTCTAATGACGAAGCTCGTCCAACTCATTTGCACCACTAAATATATAACTTTCAATTGCATTGATGCCCAAATTTCAGTCTCGATTTAGCTTTTGTTGGAGTTCATTTTCTTTGACTTAAATTTTACTTTTCATGAAATGAGAAGCAAATAATATTTGTGAATCCTACGAAATGTGTGATAAAAACTTGAGTTTGATAAGTAAATTGAATGAAAAGAAAATGAAACCCAAACTAGGGCTTACTAGGTTGTACAAGACTTCATATATACACATTATTTTCAAACAAAATCACAAGGATGAAAATTAAATTGGGTTCGGTCTGGGCTGTGCTCGACCAACCTGGCTCGATTGACATGACACTTATACAACCATGCATTTGTTCAGAGAATAAATATCAAGGTTTTACTAAGAAATGGAATTAGGTGAAAACGTACCAACACAACAGTAGAATATTTGTGTGCAAAAACATTCTGTTTGGTTAGGCATTGATCCACAAAAGGGCCCGAAACGAAAAGAACAGCAGCTTGAAATGGGGCAGATTGGTACAGCAGCTGAGTAGATGATACATTCAGCCTCTTCTGTATTGTGTTTGTGAGCTGAAATTAAGCATCAAATTAAGGATAAAACACTGCCCAAAAACGAAGATGTTAACCCAAATTGCATTAGTTATATTATATGTGGGGCTTCAATTATATGATTAACCTAACCATATTATAATTATCTAAATTGTAATCATGCGAACTTATGTGCTCAATCCGTTATATCATACTTGTTGCTTATTTCAGGAGAACTTGTATTCATCTTAGTCCTCACAGGACCTTTGCCTTGTAAAAGGCTTAAGTTGAATCCTGGGTAAGATGGATAGAAACTCTTCCAAAACCTATAATATAATAGATTAGGCCCAATGGCTTAGATCGTTTCATAAAGGGCCTTGAAAATAATTCACGAACCAAAATTTTTAAAGTAAAAATAGCAGAAAGAAACGAAGGATACAATTTGGCCAACACAAGTTGTTAAAATGGCTAGAAGTGATAGGATTGAGCCAACAAAATTGAGCTGAAGATCAGTTATGGATGCAATGCCAACTCCAAGAAGCAGGACGAATAGAGATAATTTAATCTTCTGGCTGCAAATATACATATCCAGAGAAAATTATGTAAGATATTAGTGTCCTAAAATTTTTTGTACATTTTAGAGTTACTAGTCAAAGTTGAACGAGCATTATACGTTATTCTAAAATATTTTATAAGTGATGTAAAAGTAATATTTGGTACCAATTTGTCAAAGGATTTGATGAGTCTCGAACGAATTAAAGAAAATAAAATTTAGCATAAAAATTTAAGAGAAGAAAATTGTACTCAAATTGTATAATCAAAACTCAATTTCAATGATTAAAATTTTTTATAATGATGAAATACTATAAATGAGCAATCTTTATATATTACATTTGATACATAAGAATTAATTATTAATACATAAATTTAAACACCCATTAAAATTTCTAGATACATGAATATGAATAATTCATTTATAATAACTCTAGATTTATGTAATTCAAGAATCATCAAGTGAAAATTCATTAAATTTAGGTTAATGTGAATATTAATTAATTAAGAATTAATAACACAAATTTCATAAATGACAATAATTATGTAGTATTTATTAATATCGAAAAACGAAAAGTAATGTGTCATTGAAACAATTAAATTGTAGGAGGATTAAAATCGTCGAAGAAATGATTCTCTTATTTTAATATAATAATTATAGATTATAGATAATTACTCACCTGAACTGTTTTTTCAAGAAAATGGTTTCCAAGAGTACGGTAAAAGGTATAATTGCAAGTTTTGTCATCTGCAAAATATACACCATTCCAAGAAACTCCATCAAAGAAAAAAAAATATAAATGAATAGATAGATAGATGGAAAGATTTGCATATGCTGGATTATTTATACGAAAAGGGTATAATGCACCTGGTAGAAGCCAATCGAGTTGAATCCCAAGCTCAAGTTTAGAAAGCCGACTGAAATACCATTTAAAATGCCAAAGAGCATTATCGTTTTCATGTCGATTGGTTTGTTCTCAAAGAAGTTTAAGCGCAGCGCCACATGAAGAGAACAGTATGTTACTATCAGATGCCAACTAGTCAGTGTTGTGGCTGCAAATAATCAATTTCCATGTTATGAGGAACACATACTCCACCTCGATTTTGGTATTTTTATATTTGTGTGGTCATGTTCGATTAGGCAAGAATTTTGTTATGCTTAGGACAAAAATGAATCTAAATATATCATACTTCAAAAATACAGAGTTCTGTAAATCAAATCTGTTAATTCTAAACAATACAAGAACCAACATATTTTTCTGGCCCAAATGCTATCTTTGTCAATATGATGCAAACAAATGTTATGTGCCAAATGATATACAAGAAAATAGAAAAAGATTGCATACCAAATGGAAATCCAAGATTGCTCATCAAGGCCTTGTTACAGATGACAATGGACACAGACGACGCCACAGAAAGAAACAACGCGCCAATAACGCCCAACTGGGCTCCTGGAATCTCTCCCATCTTTCACGAAGTGGAAGAATAATCAGACCAAATAGTAGAATAAAAAGTGAGTTTCATTCAGGTTTTCTAGCTATAGAGATTAGTCACTATTAGTAAGCTGGTTATTGTTCATCTATTTCCTTCTAGCAATTGATCTAAGTTACTTTAAACGTGCGCTTTACAAAATCAATGTTTTCAAGAAAACAGAAAAAAAATCCTATATATAGAAAGTGGATCAAAAAATCTCTGAAGATAATGGCTTGTTAACAGTATTTTTTATGGGCATTTATAAATGAAATTTAACTTACCTTCATTATGATGTATGTGTGTGTATATATATTAGCTGACTTGAACTTGAAATTGCAGCTGGCAGTGCTCTCTCAAGAACACACAGAAAGAGACCTTTAAAAATGAATTATTACTTCTGTAACTTTTCTAGCAGTCCCACAGGACCGCCTCCCAGTCGGGCTGGCGGTGTAAGAGCGACAAGGGAATAATGAAAGAGCTTAAAAGGATGGTGGTGGTGGGAGGAGGAGGAGGGGCCTTCTGAAGCTAAAGAGAAAGATGGTGAGGCCGTGTCCTGTATGAGAATGTGAAATATGAGCTCTTTTATCCGCTATACTAACCAAATGGTTGGTGCTAACGCCGTTAGTTTTAGCTTCTGTTGTTCCTGTCTTCTGCTTAATCCCTTTCACAAAGTAGTTAACGGTCATAATAAACAAGGGCAAGCACCTTCCGTTTCACATGGGATTTGAACATAGCTATATAGTAGACAAGATATTAAATTCTTTTTTGTATTTGATAATGTCACTTGTTACTTAATCTAACGTACCAAATATGTCGAGATTAATGTTCATAAGTGATATTTATAACCAAACTTATTTGGAGATATTATATTTGATTCTTAGGATACAAGAAATGGAAGGTGGAATGAATATTTCTATATATTTGTGAATGAGAAAGCTGCGAATGAAAGCAAAACGTTGACAACCCACAAAATCAATTCGTTTGGTGAGAGAAAACAACTTAAATCTCACTCCACTTGTTTTACACGAGAAAATGATCTTGAAATTTCCATCAAACTCTAATTATCAATTTTAAACTTTTTGTAACTTATAAGTGATTGCAAATGGAAGATTTAGGCAAATGTCAATATATAAAGAGGGTTGATGATAATATATTTCCTAATTTGTGCTTAGATCTCACTAGTCGATGAAATTTTCAAAACAGCATGCAGAGAACTCAAATTTGTTTTACTTTATGAAAAAGTCGAAGTTTTAATTCAAACTTGATGTTTATAAATTCTACCTCAATTCACGACTACTACCAAAAAGCTCCGATGACTTTTATAACATTTTATTTGATAATTAAATGGACCTTAAATCATTGTTCAACCTTGCTAGAATAGAACTATCTATTTGGATTTTCCCTAAGTTGTCCCACATATGGTTGAAAACTTGTAGGTTTCATGAATTATGTGATTAAAATTAATTGTAAATTTTGACGTAAATTTAAATTTAAATTTTAATCCATACAGAACATGAGCTAAAAAAAGGGAAAAAATGTAGAACTGCTCTATTGACCTTCTGATGCGAACCCCGTAGTAATGGAAATTACGAAACCCACAACGAGATTGATGCGAAACCCAAGAACGTCAATACTAACCCGGTATTGGATCTTGAACCCCAAGAATTGAACCAAGAAATCCTAGATTAGCGAAAAACCTAAAACCCCTTGATTACAATTGAAAGAACCCACAATCCGATTGATAGAACGCCACAAGAAATTGAATCTTGATAAGTTTCAAGATTGTTCAAGAAGAACAATTGAAAGAATAATTCTCTCTCTATAATATTAAGCAATGTCAAAAGTTCAAAGGGTTTTTTACAATGAAAAAATATTCTCCTATTTATACTATTCCTCGAATAGAAGTCAAAAAGAAAATATAATTCTAATACTCTAACAAAATTCCTAAAATATTCGTCCAATATGGTAGGAATTTGATTAAGAATGAAATTCTAGTAAAATAAGGAAAACGCGAAAAAAAGGAAAATTGCGCCCAGAAATGAACCATGCGGTCGCATGGTTATAACACGTACGGCCGCATGGTAATAAAATTTTGGCCAATTGAAATCTCGGTCTCATGCTGTGCGGCCGCACCGTGCGGCCACATGGTTACACTACACATTCTCATCTTCGGCTACTTGTAACGCATTGATCAATTTTGTTTCGGCCTTCGACCCGAACACGAAACTTGTCCCATTTTGGGTCCCGAATATGGTTCCATCAATAGTTTCTTGAACGAGCAATCCCATCGCTTGTTTCACTTGCTTTGCCCTTGATCGCGTCATTGGTCCATCATCAACTATCAACGGGTCTCGTCTCGCACTTGCCTTCGTCGGGTTCGACTCCTGGATCATATCATCCCCTCCCTCTTCAAAAGAATTCTTCCTCGAATCTGAACTTACATCAAACAGAGAGAGATCTGATATATTAAAAGTAGCCGAAATATTGTACTCACCAGGTAAATCCACTTTGTATGTATTGTCATTGATCCTCTCGATGAATTGAAACGGTCCATCGCCTCGTCGTTGCAATTTTGACTTTCTCTGTTTTGGAAAACACTCTTTTCTGAAATGCACCCAAATCCAATCTCCAGGCTCAAATGTAACGCGTCTTCTTCCTTTATTTGCTTTTGATGCAATCAGTTTTCCTTTCTCTTTGATCTGCATCCTGACCTTTTCATGGAATGTTTTCACCATCTCGGCTTTTCGTTTCCCATCCAAGCTATCTCGTTCATGTACAGGCAAAGGCATTAAATCCATAGGTGTTAGTGGATTAAAACCATAAACAATTTCAAAAGGAGAAAACGAAGTAGTAGAATGTGTAGCTCGATTATATGCAAACTCTATAAACAGTAAACACTCTTCCCGTGATTTCAGATTTTTATTGATTACTGTCCTAAGTAGTTGAGTCATAGTTCGATTAACTACCTCAGTTTGTCCATCTGTTTGTGGGTGACAAGTTGTAGAAAATAATAACTTAGTTCCTAACTTACTCAACAGAACACGCCAAAAATGACTCAAAAACTTCACGTTCCTATCAGACACTATACTCTTAGATACTCCATGTAAACGTACTATTTTCCTAAAAAATAAGTCTGCAATATTAGTAGTATCGTCAGTTTTATGACATGGTATGAAATGCGCCATCTTACTAAACCTATCGACCACTACAAATATTGAATCCCGACCCCTTTTTTGTCCTAGGTAAACCTAACACAAAGTCCATAGATATATCTACCCAAGGTTCACTAGGTACAGGCAAAGGAGTAAACAAACCATGGGGTTGAACCTTAGATTTAGCCTTTTTACAAGTTATGCACTTTTCACATATTTGTTCTACGTCATGTCGCATTTTAGGCCAATAAAAATGTTCCCCTAACATGTCTAAAGTCTTTTGAACCCCGAAATGTCCCACTAAACCACCCCCATGTGCTTTCCTTACCAATAATTCA